TATTTGCTCCTTTGGAATCAAATAATTAGTGACTTGGAGGCCTCTGCTGTTTCAAAGCACCAAAGTCATGAATATCAGTGGTAGACACAGCTGTGTATCTCAAATATGTCTCAAGATGCTGCCTTATATAATCCCACCAGTATTCCATGCTGCTTTGTCACCATGGCAACCAGAACCCTGCAAGCTCTTGGGCTTTGATCATTTTTCTGACAGAATTCAAAGCTATTTCTAACACTTCATTACTACTGTAACTACATGCAAGAGCTATTTTAAGCACACCACCATTCATTCTGCCCATTTCTCACTCTCTGGGCTATGATTCCTTACACAGTAAATGGAAAGAAGTTTATTTATCATGCACATATCATCAGAAGGTATTTTCAGGAAGAAAAAAGAGCTCCATTAAGACAGTCACAGCTGCGAAACTGAAAAGTCTCAGACAATTTGGATGAATGACTTAATATAAGGTGAAAATATATATCTTTGAGAGTAAAAAGAGAATTTATTATACCCAAATATGATATTCTATAGAAACTCTCAGGCCTTCCGTGCACTGAGATGCCCTTTCTCACTCTGCACATATAGAGTTAAAAAGTCGAGGTGAGAGGGAACAGGAGAGGTTGCCAAGGTGCTGTACCTTCTATTTCTTTATCCAATTACTAGCTACATGGACGTATTCGGTCTGTAAAAAAACACCCTTATGTATACTTTCCTACAAGCACATTACACTGCAATAACAAATTTAATTACCAGTTTGTGAACTCAAGAAAGAAAAACAAATAGGAAAGCTAACCAAAAGATAAGCTCAAACAATGAAAGGAATGCCGGGAAAGAAGGGCCAATGTTCAAAGCTGATGCTATTCTAGCTGGATTCCCACTTCACTCCATTTCCCCAAATGCAAACACTGGTCCAGAGCCACTGCCAATGTACTTCTTGTTCTCTATAAGCACCGTGACCTGTTTTCTATTCAGACCAAAACAAATATAAAAAGGGAGGGAATAAAAAACAAAAACAAAAAATACCTTTTTAAAAATTATTCCCAAAGAAATTGTCTCTATTCCAAAAGAAATGCCCAAAACCTAGTCAATATTTGAAAGTAGAAAGGTGTTTAATTTACTGGGTGTACTGGTTAATAATTTGGATTTTGTAATCAAAGAAAACACAATTAATTTCAAGGGAAACATCAAAAGTGCTTTATTCAAAGTAATGTCCATCACTAACTACACGTTTCCCCCACCTTTCAGGTAATCTGTGGATACCATCCCAGTAGAACTTTTCTTGTTTTGAGGCAAACCATTCAGAGACTAATTTTCCACTTCTTTGTACATTTTGAAGTGCTGCTCAGAAAGTGCATGTGCCATCAATTGGAACAAGTGCTCATCTGAAGGAGCAAGGTCTGGTGAATACAGCAGGTGGGTTAATACTTCCCAGGCAAGATCTTTTAACGTGTCTTTAACTGGTTTTGAAGTGTGTGATGGTGTGTTATCATGAAACAAAATTACTTTGCTGTGTCTTCTGACCCATTCTGATCATTTCACAATCACAGCGTGGTTCATATTGATTATTTGTTGTCAGTAGTAATCAGTATTAACAGTTTCACCTGTGTTTAGAAGCTCATAATACACCACACCTTCCTGATCCCACCAAATGCAGAGCATTGTCTTCTTTCCGAAGCGATTTGGCCTTGCAGTCGATGTTGATGGTTGACTTGGATCAACCCATGATTTTGTGCATTTGGGATTCTCAAAATAAATGCACTTTTCATTGCCAATCACAATTTGATGCAAAAAAGACTTTCTTTTGTACCGTTGAAGCAACATTTTACTGATGACTTTTTGATTTTCCATTTGTTTTTCATTCAGTTGATGTGGCACCCATTTTTCTTCCTTTATAATCTTTCTCATTACTTGTAAATGATCGGAAATTGTTTGCTGAGCAACGTTGAATCTTTCTGCAAGTTGTTTTTGAGTTTGACAGGCATCTTCATCCAATAATGCTTGTAATTGTTGGTCTTCAAGCTTTTTCAGTTGATCTGGACGTTCTTTGTCTTTCACATCGAAATCATCACATTTAAAGCGTTTAAACCGGTGTTCATAAGTGTCCTGAAATGGAGCATGTTCACCATAAGCTTCATGAAGCTTTCAACAGCACTTTCTTCAAAATAAAGTAATGAATGAAAACTTCCCGCAAATGCTCTTTTTTTGGCATGAAATTTGACATTTTTAAGCGTAAAAATATCTATGGTGTTAACACCTTCAGAAAATTTGACATATGAAGTTTTGAAGCTTGTTGTCAATACAACAAAATAGCATACAGATCAAATCACATATATATCAACATATGTGTAACTCCGTATATTAAAAAAATCCGCATTATTAACCTCTACACCTAGTATTTGCTCAAAGAGCTTTGGACCAGAACTGGGAGTGTGATGTGGAGCATGCCACAGGGCCTCCAGCCCCATCATGGGGAACTCGGTCACAGACCTGTAGGACTGACAAACAGAGGCCTTTCCCATTGCTTTCCAATCAAGGACTAACACTAAACACTTTCATTTCTATAAACAAGCACAGAAAATACACAACTCAAGTGCACCAGACACTGAGCAAATCAGCACCCCCAAAGGGAAGAGACCAAATGGGCACTAAAAGCAAACAGGACTTACCACATTTATTTAATACAGAATTTTTTATTTAAAAAAAAATCATTTAAAATATATTAGTTTTACATTTAACTACATATCACAGGCAACTTTTCATTTATATCTTCACTAAAATCTTTTTCAATAGTTTTATATATACCATGTATAAAATGAATTTTCTTTAAAAGTGAAAAGAAAAAGAGCCAAAATACTAATCTCAGTAAATCATACACCTGCACTACCACGGCCACACTCCTCTCAAACAAAAACCCCCAAACAATCAGAGAATATATATGCTTACTCACCACAGATACATATTTTTGTAGAAATAATTAAGCTTGTTTAAACTGAAGAGTTTAATATTAATACCTAATATTAAGAAAAGTAGTACTGCAAAAACAAAAACAAAAACACACTGATATAAAATGACAAGATAGTCGAAACCTGTTTGGCTCAGTGGATAGAGCGTCAGCCTGCGGACTCAAGGGTCCCAGGTTCCATTCCCATCAAGGGCATGTACCTTGGTTGTGGGCATATCCCCAGGAGGGGGTGTGCAGGAGGCAGCTGATCGATGTTTCTCTCTCATTGATGTTTCTAACTTTCTATCCCTCTTCCTTCCTCTTTGTAAAAAAATCAATAAAATGTATTTAAATAAATAAATAAATAAATAAATAAATAAATAAATAAAAATAAAATGACAAGATGAAACACGTCTGGTATATGGAAAACAAATTTGAGACATGAGAGGATGCTCAACATCATTAGTCATTAGGGAAATGCAAATCAAAACTCATGTGTGGATATAAAACTGAAACTCATAGACACAGGCAGACAATATGGTGATTCTCAGAGGGAAGGGCGTGGGGGGGAGTAAAGAATAAAGGGGCCAAATACATGGTGATGGAAGATGGTGTGACTTTGGGTAGTGGCCACAGTGCAATATACAGATCACGTGTCATAGAAATTGACACTTGAAACCTATATGACCCTATTAACCAATGTCACCCCCAAAATTTTAATAAAATGTAATAAAACCGACAATGAGATACCACTTCACACTCCCGTCGATGGTTATTATACAAAAGACAGACAATGACAATTGTTGGTGAAGAAAATGGAACCCTCACTCACGGCCGGTGATACAGCCTCTTTGAAAAACAGTCTGGAAGTTCTTCAAATGTTAAACATAGAGTACCACATAACGCAGCAATTTTCCCCCTAGGTATATACTCATGAGAACTAAAAATATTATGTCCACATGAAACCATGTACACAAATGTTCATAGTAGTATTATTCTTAGCAGCCAAAAAGGTAAAATAATTCAAACATCCATCAACAGATGACTGGATAAACAAAATATGGTAAATCTGTACACTGGAATATTAATATGTAATTAAGAGGAATGACATAATGATATATGTTACTACATAAATGAACCTCAAAAAATACTTTATTTTGTGAAAGAAGCCAATCACAAGAGACCACATATTGTATAAGTCTACTAATATGAAATGTCCAAAATATGTAAATCCATAGAAACAAAAAGTTAGGGGGATAGAAACTGGAGACAGTGGAAAGTCACTGCTAATGGGTATGGGGTTTCTTTTGGGGTGATTAATGGTCTAAAATTAGATTATGGTGATAATTGCGCAACTCTAAGTATACTAAACCATATCATTGTAAACTCTGAATGGGTGAATTTTTATTGTATGAAATTGTAGCTCTATAAATTGGAGGAAGAGGAGAAGAAAAAGCAGGGCTGGGAGATTTAAAGAGAACACAGCAGTACGAAATTATTTACCCACCACACACAGGAACACATCAACAAAGACACATGTGGACCCAAGTGCATATAGCTTCTGCTGCCAGTCTGTTCAGGGCATGCACAGCTAAAGTAAAAATAACGCTGTCTAAAACACTCTGTCATTACTGTAGTCAACAGGTATTTTATCCAAAGAAAAAGAAAGAATAAGAGAAACAAGCAAATAAACAAGTGTACAAAGATTGCAACAGGAGACAGGCTCACATTCACCTGCAGTATGCATTTGTAGGCAGCTTAGCCCTCCTTACCCCGATATGTAAGATCAGATATAAACCGGGTATAATGTGGACTAATGTATATAAACCCATGGAACAAGAGCTCTCCTTAACTCGAGTACAACACTAAGTTACCCTCTTTTCCTGCTATTTTTTCCATCTGAGAATGAAGAAACAGTGCCAGAGAAAAGAAGCACCATCACTTCTGATACAGGTATTTATGCAACATTCTACCCATAACTTTCAGAAAGGTGCAATACGTCAGCCATGGGGAAAATAGAGAACTAGAGGAAAGTGTAAGATATCAGCAGTCCACTAACCTTAACCCATTGAATAGCTGCTTCGATTTATCCAGAAGATAACAAAAATCAGTGACTGTTTTCCTCTCTCCCTGTGGGATGTCATCTTCAGCGCCTCCAACGCTCATGATTTCTTGAAGAGCAAATTCAGTCCTGCAAGAAAACACATGTCCATTAACCAAGAAGGTGAAAATGAAAAGAGAAACAGACCTTAGCTATACCTTCTGATAACACTTTTTTTTCCCTTCAAGATGGAGAATTTTTCTGATTACATGCAAACCATCAGATAATTTAAATGTATGATGGTGTGGGAGACCAGAGACTCTTGTATTATCCGAGGGAATGAAAATTGTTAACATCCATTTGGAAAGAGAGTTTTTGAATATTCTTTCATCCAATAAATATTATTTGAAGGACTATTACATTCCAGGCTCTCCTTTACATGGTTCAGAATGAAAAAAAAAAAAATGTTTATCCTTATAACCTAGTTATCTATTTGTTCCATTCTACAAATCCATTCAGAAAAAATAATCCTACAAATGGAAAACATAGGTATCATGTCTTCTTTATCCATTTATCTACTGAGGGACACCTAGATGGCTTCCATATTTTGTCTGCTGTAAATAATGATGCAATGAACATAGGGGTGTATATATCTTTTTTGGTTTATTCTCTTTATTTCTTTGGATAAATACCCAGAAGTGAGATTGCTAGGTCATATAAGTAGTTCTATTTTTAATTTATTCTTTTTTTATTTTTAAATTACAGCTGACATACAATATTATATTAATTTTAATTTTTTGAGGAATCTCCATACTATTTCTCATAGTAGCCACACCAGTTTACAATCCCACAACGGGGTTGTCTAATATCTCATCCCAAGGCTTTAAATCCCAAGGTTCTGCCTCTCTTTTCCCTTAAACATAGATGATAGTATTTAAGCCCTCTCCAGTAATTAGATATCACTCTTTGAAAAGCATTACAAAACCCAAAAGAGCCCCAGCCAGTTTGGCTCAGTGGATAGAGCGTCAGCCTGCAGACTGAAAGGTCCCAGGTTCGATTCCAGCCAAGGGCAAGTACCTTGGTTGCAGGCATATCCCCAGTGGGGGGTGTACAGGAGGCAGCTGATTGATGTTTCTAGCTCTCTTTCCCTCTCCCTTCCTCTCTGTAAAAAAATCAATAAAATATATATTTTTTAAAACAAAAGAAATCACTAAAGTAAATTTTTAAAAATGAACTTTGGCTATCAGATCTACTTGTCAATGAATGATACTGATTATTAGATATTTGACTTTGGGAGTGTTATTGAACTTTTCTAAGCTTCTGGATTTCTTCAATTCCAGAATGGGAATTATAATATTTGCCCTTCATACAGCTATTAATAAGATTCAATTAGATCACATTCATAACATTATAGTCCAAAAAGGGCACACTATTAATAAAAGGCAGCAAATATTAGAACTGGTAATTCTGGGAATTTGGATACAGCAGTAAAGAAAACAGGCAATAGACAGAGTGTATTTTCTAGTGAAGAGACAAAAATTAAAAAAATATAATATCCAGGTGGCATGCTATAGTAGGAGGAAAATACAGCAGAAAGGGAGAGTGTGATTGGTCAAGCTTTAGTTAGGATAGGTGAGGTGATACTGAGAAGATGACATATGAGCAGAGACCTGGGGGAAGTAAGTGAGCCAAGAACATGTAGAGAAGAGTGGGGAGTGCAGAATCCAGGTGCCAGGAGCAAGTACGAGGTGCTGAGGCAGGTATGTACTTGTTATACTGAGGAATGACAAAAGGTTTTGTCTATAAGAAAAACACTTTAAAAAACCACCAGCTTGCTGAAACCAGTTTGGCTTAGTGGATAGAGCGTTGGCCTGCAGACTGAAAGGTCCCAGGTTCGATTCCAGTCAAGGGCATGTACCTTGGTTGCGGGCACATTCCCAGTAGGGGGTGTGCAAGAGGCAGCTGATTGATGACTCTCTCTCAGCGATGTTTCAACTCTCTATCCCTCTCTCTTCCTCTCTGTAAAAAAATCAATAAAATATATTTTTAAAAAACACACCACCAGCTCTTTCTAAATAAATTGATATAAATAAGATTCATGATATTGCTTTTCGAGTACCACAAAAAGGAGACAGAGTAGACAAACCTAGATGTGCTTTTCCCACATCTAACGTCCTGGTGCGGGCTCAACCTGCCCCTAGCAGGTATACCTTTTCCTAACTGACAGTCCACCTAAAGGGACTGCCTTTTTCTGATTTGCACATAGATATCATACAGGACTTCCTTCCAATAGAATTTATTGGCTCTACAATCATCAAAGTGGTGTTAATAAGCCTGTCGACTCAGAAATAGAAATGGACTAATTATGTTGAACTAGATTCTATAATGACAATCATTAAAAAGGACTTATGATGTGATATAATCCCAACTTTCATTGTCCTTATCTTGATATAGATAAAAAGAAATCAATCTAACAAGTTAAAATAAGGCCATGTGACATACACTGAATCTATAACCCAGGTACCAGCCCCAATGGTGCGTTTTCCCCCAAAGTCACACAGCTAACAGTGTAACCGAACTTAGCTTCCCCGTTTGTGAAGTGAGGATAATGAATGCTGCTGCCCTCTCTCACCAGGCTATTGTGATCAATTCTGTTCAAATGTAACCATATCTTCTTACTAAAATATTCAGTAAAAAAGCAAAATGCAATTATATTATACTACAAGTAGACAAGGTTTTTACTGAGGAAAAAGACCATGTGAATATCAATTGACTTTAAACTAAAAAGGGTTTTAAAAAATCAAATAAATAACACCAGGCTTCTACATCCTAATATCCTGGACTGGGAGTTTGACTAGTGGGGCCGGCTGGCCAACTGCGGGAAGGGAGGCCCCGTCTGGCAGCCAGCAGCCGCTAGGGGCCCTACCTGTGCATTAATTTCATGCACTGGGCCTCTAGTTAAAAAATAAAATTGTTTGCTGCTGAGCAGTTCTAGCTGTTCCTGCTGCTTATCACCATCGAGAGATCAGAAAGTTCTTTTGTGAGGACGTACATTTAAAGACAGACAGTACTGCTGATGGAGGGTTTCTTACAAGAGGACCTGCATCAAGTTGTCAGAGTCTTCCTCTCGTCTGGGTTGACAATTATTCGTCTGTCAGGACTCTACTGTTAGCAAAATCAAGGCCTGTCCTTAAAAACAAGGGGTAGTTATTGGGATAGTTATCCTACCCCAAGTACTTGAGTCACACAGCTCAGCTGTCTTGTATCATAGTTCTTCCAGTACATCCATCATCTCCTTACTAAACTGTAAGCCACCTGAAAGCAGTAGCTGTCTAAAAAAGTTTTCTGTAAAGCGCCTGTGAATACTGTCCCCAGATAATTCCAAAATACGAACTGATCAAAGGCAGTGAAAAAGTTTATGTTCCTGCCATATGACAGGTGTTGTTCCATGTGCTGGAGACACTGTGTGCGTGCATGCGTGTGTGTGTCCATGAATTTATTTATACCAAAGAGGCCGAAAGTGACTGTGGCAGGGACTTGAGAATCTACAAAAGCTGGGAATGTTCGTTACTGAAATCCAGGAAGGAAGGAATGCCAAGTAGCTGTCATTAAGAGAATGAAAAAGGCAAATGTTCAACCTTCTGAGAAAGAAATCTGATTACAATCAGATTGGTGTTGTGGTATGTGAGGAACCTACAAGTTTTTTGTGAAGAAAAGGAAACCCCAAATTCCTAAAGCCTTAGCTAGATGCTGACCTAAAACTATGCGGATTAGTTAGCAGGAGACTCCAGGGTGTTGGCGTGTATTCTACAAAGACAGACAGGTATGTTTGGGCCCCGCATAGAGGCCAGAGCAGAGTGCTTAAGCGCACTGGCAAGAAACTGCCTGCACTCAGCTCCTGGCTCCACCACTCACTACTCAAACACAACTGTGCAATCTCTTTGTGCCCCGACTTCCCTAAATGTAAAACAGGATAAATACAGGATCTGCTACTTAGGATTTTCATGAAGATTAAATGAGAATGTACAAGGAGTTCAGACGAGCCTGGCACACATTAAATGTCATCTAAGTAGGCCTTCCATTTAATTTACCACCCACTGGGATAATTCTGTGAATGAAAAGGGACACTATTAGTAATTACATTAGGACTGCAAAAACTGAGACCGTGTCAAGCAAACCAGAACATATTGTGAGAAGAAATGAGAAAATGTGACCAGAGGAAGTGAAATTTCCCGTCTCACCTCTTTAATCAGAGGCTACTCATAGATGCAGGTAGCAAACATTAACAACTGGATTATATTCTCCTGTGTGCACACTGTTAGAGCTAAATGAGCACGCTTGGTGTTTTGCTATAAATGGTTTGGATTAATATGTCAATCAATGCTAACATAATCCCCTCCAGATTAATAACAGGCATGTAACACATACTGAGCAGACGATGATGGTAACAGGCAGAAAGATGCTAAGACTTGCTCCTTGCCCTCAAGAAGCTAACCACCAGTACATTAAATGATTCCTACAGGTGCTTTCCTGTCGGTAGTCCCAGAAGCCATTGCTAGAGCCATTACTACACCCAAAAAGGAAGATATCTCGGCGAAATATTGAAAAAGATGAGAAAGGCAGCTTTAAAAAATGAAGATAAAAGAGACACAAAGGCGTACTTCATTATTTTTACACAGCAATGTCAAATGGTTTAAGACATTTTAGAAAGAAAACCCAAAATTCACACTAAAGAGTTGTGGCAGGTCGCATCTGTTTTGGCCTATGCAGCACCCATTTTCCTTTCTTTGTGGAATTATTGCTCAATCTCAATGGAAATCAAAACTCAATTTGGAAGAAAATATACTGAGAGAGAGAGAGAAGGAAAGAGAATGAAGAATCAGGGAACTTGTTAATTATGTGTGACAATGGCTCAAAAAAAGGGTTCTCATATTTTAAGGGCAGGCACTGAAATATTAACAAATGAAATTGTGTGATGTCTGGGAGTGGGTGTGGGTAGAGAGCAGCCATGAACTTGTGACTGTTGAAGCCTGAGTGATGGAGATATGGGAGATAATTATTCTGTTCTATTCTATTTCATTCTGAGTTTAAATTTTTTCATTTAAAAATATTTTTTCCTACTTCATTTACAGTAAGATCCCAATGTCATA